AAAGAAAAACACATAGAGGAAGATGACACATTAGTCACCAGGTCATCAGTGAACCAGGGGACATCTGGGCAGTGGGCAGATCAAAATGACCCTGAAGAGTTGGCAAGGGGCTTGGCTTAACGTCACCCAGCTAGGACAAGGCTGACCTTGACTCGTACACTCAGTCCTGCCTCATGGCCCCACTGTGCCCAGGCTTCCTCTTGGCAGGGGTCCATCCAAATGCTACAGGGACAGCCACACACCACTAAGGACTCCCAGAACATGCACACCCGATCTGTCACCCAAGGCGAGGCGCATATTCGGCATCCCAGCTTTTCCTGCAGACTCACCAAAGGCCCATTTTTGACATTGAGAAGGATGTGCAACTATTCTCTCACCAACCGTTGTCCTAAAATATCATTCCTCCTCTTAGTTTATAAGCTATACTAACAAGGATAGGGTCTCGTAAACAACATTAATAATGAAATACAAGACATGAAGTTCATTTGATAAAATATTCATTAAAGGTTTAAATACATTGGAAACAAAGACACCGATTTCTGCAAAAGGGAAAACTGCAGATCTAAAGAACGAAAGAACTGCACATCTGCTGCGATGCGAAAGTTTCAGAGGCGGTAACAGTGGTGCTGCACGCAATGAAGATGAGCGTGAAGTGGCCAAGAAATTCAACGTGGGCTCCAAAAAAGTCAGCAGGACCCTTTCTCTCATTCTTCGACTTGAGAAGATAGTTACTTTTTTCTCCACAAAGGAGATCAGAATCTGTCACAGTGATTGATAGTTCGACTTACTGAATCATAAATAAATTTTTTAACTTTCAGGATGATTCCTCAGGAGCATCAAATCACTTTAAGGTTAGAAAGTATCTGGTTAAAAATTCATACTTGAAAACTGTAAGGTTTTAAAAAAAAAAAAAAAAAAAGCAGCTAGCCAGGCCTGCAGTGCTGGACACATCCTCACTGGGACCTTTGCCGCTCTCAGGGAAAATGAGGGTCGCCTGCTGACCCGTGTGTCTGTTGCAGCTAGAGACACTGACACGAGGGGCGCAAAGCTGTCAGTCACCTCTACAAATTCAATTTCCTTCCACAACCTCTGGGAAGCACTTCTCTACTCCCCAAGGCAGAAGGAACATCTCCCAATCTCCAAACTTCCCCCAACTTCATCCAGAACTCAAACAAAGCAGAGCTCATGCTCAGCTGCAATTATCTGCAAGAGATCTAGCAGCCCCAGGCCACAAGCAGGGTTGGGTCTGAGTCATGTGCATGTTCCAGGGGTAAGCAAGAAAGAAGGCGTGAGATGTGCTCAGCGAACACTGATGAATGAGTCAGTGAACAAGAGCTTGCCCCCAAGACTCCAGTGTGCCTCACAGAGTGGTCCTTCGAAATCCGAGGAGGGTACCCTCTGAGGGTTTCAGGGAGAGACACCACATAGCTCTTGTCCCAACAACTCAGGGTTCTTTTACACAGCCTGTTGCCTTCATAACAAGGAGTCATAAAAATGTGTGCTCTCTACAATCAAGGAAATACCCCTGGATCTTAATCCAAAGAATTTATCCAAAATTTGAAACCATTATGAATGTATTTCAGAATTATTTCTTATTGTGAAATGCACCACCAAGATCTAATTGAGTAAATCTGGGCAGAACAACTTGATGAAATATGCAGCCACAAGGAAGCAACCCTACAGAGACCAGGGGCCCGCAATCGTACAACCAACCATGAGTTCTGAGACCAGCATCACTGGGATGTAACATTACGTTCAGTTGTTGGTTCCAGTTACCTACTGGAGTCTCCTTTTACATGACAGGGTCTTCTCTGGGACCCACAGAACAGTCTTTGTTAAACCAACTCCAAACATGGCTGTATCTCTCTTAAAGCTCAGGTTCTTATTTTGAGCTTGAGTTTATAAATCCTCTCAAGAAATGTGGGAAAGGTGAAAGAACCACAGGACTTGGTGGTCTAATTTTTGTCCGCTATTCCAATTATTCACTTGAGGGCCATGAATCTGGAATTTACAACTCCAGCCTACTTCTCTCTTTGGAGCTCCAGAACCACCTGTCCCCACTCCTGCCCAAAGTCTCCGCTTAAGATAGTTAAGGCATTTCTAACTCAGCTGGTCCCAGACTGAGTCTATGCTCGTGCCCTCCTGCCAAAAACAGGGCCCCATGGGTCTCAGAGAAGACCCTGTCATGTAAAAAGATTACCTAACTCAGAAAATGACCCCATCACATCTAGGCCAAAATCTCAAGTCTCTCTTTACGGCTTTTTGTGCTCTACCACAACCAAATAATCCCTAGCTGCTCTCCATTCTACACCCCAGTAATTCCTGAACCTCCGCACTTGTCACCCCAAAGTCTACCGCACGAACATTTCCCTGAATAACTTCAACAGCTGTTGGCCCTGCCTCTCCATTTTGTTCTTGCCCCTCCTCACGTGTTTCTGCCTAATTGCCATGGCAGTCTTTCTAAAACCCACATGAGTCCTCTGCTTCAAACCCTTTAGTGGCTTCTCACAGCTTTAGGACCAAACCAAAGCACTCATCCTGGCTTGCAAGGCCTGCTGAGATGGGGCCCCACGGTCCCAGGAACACATCACACCCTGGACAATCTTCCTGACTCTCTTCATCTAGCAAAGGCCAACTCAGCACCACGTCTCACCTACACACTGCCTTTACCCTCAGACCAGGTTAGGTTTCTCCCACATCACCCCCCAGGGCCTCTTATTTGTCCCTGTATTTGAATGTCTTCTCAGTTATTAGATGATCCACTTCATGAAGTTAAACACCATGCCTGTCTTGTTCAAAAATAAAGGACCCGGGTTCAGTGCAGTTGCTTTCTAGCTGGCTAGTACCTTATCTTCTCTAAGTCTGAATCTGCTGTTTTGTCTAATCTGGAGGGGTACTAGGAATAACAAGAAAACAGAAGTAAAGATAGTCTAAAATGTTTGAAGCTCTCTATAAAAACGTGAAGAATCTTTATTACTGTTAGTTTTAGAATACCAGCAGATAAACTCCAGTCCCTCTAAGTATTTTTTGTGGATCACAGTGACTTTAAAAAACCAAAGTAGATTAATTTGGCTTTGAAACTTTTTATGATACCTGCTCTTATCACTGAAGACACTGTAGGGTACCAAAAAAAAAAAATAGGTCAGGACTTGTTACCTCGGAGAGAATGAGGAAAACCAAGAAAGTATATGAGGCAGCTGCTGAGAAACAGGGCATGGCCCCTTGGCACCAGAAGCTATCATCTTCCAAGGGAAACACACACACACAGAAGAGAGGCAAGGAAAAGTCAGTGTAAAAACCCTCTCCTCTCCTCTGCACGAATTCCTTCGGCTGGTGCCCTTGCCATGGGGTTGTCCCCCAGCCCTTTCCCTCATCTCAACAGGGCATCCAGCCATGTTGCTGGGATGCTCAGGAGGTCACTTTCCAACATTTTCCAGAGGAGTGAGCTTTCTGGCCCATTACCCACACATCCTATGCACGGTTTGGGGCTTACTTTGTTCCTGAACCACAATTGGATCTACTTAAATCAAATAAGAGAACAAAAGATCTGGAAAGAAGTCAAAGTTCCCAGAGCAGGTGCTCTGACAAATCCCCGTGGTATGCCGGTGTTGAAAGTTCTCTCCCAGGCCTTCCCCCTGCCTGCCTGTGTGAGCTTCAGTTTCCTCCCCTGTGGACCAAGGATAACACTGCAGGCACTGCCTCCCTTACTGGGAAGTTGTCAAGGTCAAACAGGGATGTGAAAGCACTTCAGGAAAGGTACAGCCCTGCCTGCATGAACTAGAGGGCTACCAGCCCTCCCAAAAGCCCCTCCCCAAATAGAGCACAGCCTTTGGCAGGTGAGCTCTGGGAGGCATTACTCAGAGGTTCCGACCCCAGCACAGTGGGAAACAGGGCTGCCCTAAACAAGGACAAGGTCTTCACGCTCTCTCTTGCTCTTCTGCTTGAATCAGGTGTTCAATTCATGTGACACCAGGAAAAGCATGTTAGGGAGGCAGAATCACAAAGTTTGGATAATGCCGTAATGAAAATAGGTCAACCTGCTTTAAGATGCAAACCTGGCCTCAACCCAAGAGTCTGGGTTTTTTGTAGGTGGTTATTTTTTGGTCAAAAAAGTTTTCTAAAACAATGACCATTCTTCTGACTGTAAATAGGCCAGCATATCTGCTAAGAAGCAAATCTATGCTATGCAATGCCCCAGCCTGACTCCCAGAATCCTGGCTTCCTAAGTAAGAATCTGCCTCTGACAACAGGCTGAGGAAGGATCTGACCCAGGCACCTCTCTGGGCAGGCACCAAGTCACGTCTCTCCAGATCCATCAGCCCTGTGTTCACTTACCTATTTCTATTAATTAAACTTCATTTGTGAAGCAAGCATTTCAGAAGAAGCCTAGGTGTGATGAGACAAAGGCATGTGAAGATGGCAGCTCTGACCCACATTAAAAATGTATTAGGCAGCTCAAATTGACATATCCTTTCCTTAAGAAAAAAAAAAGAGAAAAAGAACCAGAAGCATAAAGAAAAGGCATGAATTAAGCTTTTCATTCTTCAGGATAGCCTCCAGTGCAGATATACTTTTGGGAACCTGGTCTATTGAGACATTGTATTTTTTCCCCACACCCCTTTCCAGCCTCCCACCACTCTGGATTTCCAAACCAGAACCAAAAGGCTCTAATAGAGTCATCCATGCAGCACAGCAAACAGCAAGGCAGGTGTGCCCTGGAGACACACGCCCTTAAGCCTTTCGTTAAGCACATACACCCAAGACGACAGCTGCAGCAATCCACTGACCCAAGAGATTTTTCAACTTCCAAGAACACTGAAGACAGAGTCTCTGACCTTCAAGGAACTTACCGTTAAGCTGGGGAACAAAACCCCCAACACAAAAGGAACCAAAAGAAAGCAATCAAAGGTGAGCTCCCTGAGAGCAGGCACTGAGTCTTCCTTCCATCTGCATCCTGTCTTAGGATGGTAAATGTTAGACGGTGAAGAGATCGAGGGATGGACGGACAGGCAGATGAACAGAGAGGCTATAAATGCAGCAAGATGTTAAAGGTGGAAACAAGTGGTAAAGGTTCTGCAGGTTTTGGATATAAGAAATAAAACATGGGCCTCCCAGAAGGAGCATCAATCCAACCACCTCTGGCCCCAGCCCCACGCCAGCACATGTCTCCAAGCTTCTTACGATACTTCATGCTACCTTGCACTAATTACAGCTGTTTGCGTCCATTGCTTCCTGTTCAGAAAGCTCGCTGAGAGTAGGATCCATGTGTATCTAACCCCTCTCCTCAGCACATATTAGACAATCCATGAGCTCTTGAATGAATGAGAATGGCCCAGATAGAGGAGTGGTGGATGAGAATGATCACCCAGGATATCCAGACCCCACCTGTATCAGGACTTGCCTGACTTGGCTCCTTACCTTAACATACTACATGCCACAGCTGCTGTCTCTCCAAGACAGGCTGATACCCATGACTATGGAAAGTCCATGTCCTCTTTGCACTTTTCTAAAAGGGAAAAAGGACTTTGAAAAACTGACGGGGCCCACTCTTTTCTCTTGATCTCACCCACCACGTCATAAAACAGACTAAGTCACATGGGAAAACAAATGGTTCTGTCATTCCAGCACCTTATAGCTCTCTGATGGGCCAGCAACTTGTATACCTACTTAACAAAATGCCAAGGCAACTGTCAGTGTTCCTATCCTCTGCTGGGCACCTCACATCCATCTGGCAGAGCTTTTGATTATAAACAGAGTGCAGACTCACCAAGAAGCAGCCCCTAAGGAGAGTCCCACCTGGTGGTTCTGCAGCCAGCGGGGTCCTTATACTGCCTAAGACGAGCAAGGGCTGCTACTGCAGATTCCTCAGGTCAAGGAGGGGCTGGATGAGGTTCCCAAACATGCCCACCTTGAAGCATGTGAAGGGGCACATTTGCGTCCGGCTCTGTACTTGGGGATCACGGGGCTGAAGTGTCCTTTAGAGAGAAGGCAGCTCTGACTACATTTGGCAAGAACAGGATAGACAGCCCCAGCCCTCAGCTTGCTGGCAGGACATGCCAAGGCTTGTCCCTGTGCTAGGTAAGGAGGGGTCAGGGAGGGACCAGGCAGGAAGGCTGACATTGGAAATGTCTCCTACACACAAAGTCAGCCTTAGGATCTTAGAGGTAGCAATTAAAAAAAAAAAAAAAAAAATCCACTGTTGAAAGTCAGCACATGTGCAAATTTATATCCACATCAAAGCTATTTTATGCCCTGAACAAACATGGCAAATAAGTTTCTGAGGCCAAGTTCTCAGGGATGAGACATAATCTTGCCCACCAGGGGTGCACAGACTAAGGAGATCAGTGAACTGTGCCTGAGAATGGTGAAGACTTTCAAATTCAATGGAACTTTCCCCTACAAACTTCGTGTGATTTGCGAGTTTTTTTTAATATGGTTTTAAAATTAATCCACAAGCTGACCCTCTTCCTCCTACACTTTCAAGGGTAACAGAGATCTCTGAAAGTTGTCAGGAAGGTGCAAAAGTGGATAAAATCATGCATTCAATTTTAGGAAGTTCCCAAATCACCTGGAATGCAGGTGATTTGAGCTCCCAGATTCTGAGAGTCCTTGGCTACCCCCACCTAGAGATCCACCTGTGACCCTTCTCATCTACTACTTGTTCCTCTGCCAGCAATGCTTTCTCCCGCAATCTCCAAATGTTCACATCCCAATCCTCCTTTCCAAGTAAAGCTCTAATGCCCCTCTTTTCAAATCCCTGCCTGCCCAGCTCCCTACACCCCCAATAACCGTGACAAAGGCCTCCTGACACCCAGGATCCAGAGCCTGTGCTCTGCCCATCTCCTGGGTCGCTGGTCACTTTACAAATTGAGCTATAATTTCTCTATACAATGTCCCCTCTCTCTTCACTCAGATTCTGCAAGGCTGGGTTTGCACATCTGCTGAATCTTCCACAGTATAGCCTAGCTGAGGACTGTAAACACGAAATATTTGCTGGGGAATGAATGACTGGCTCAGTGAGACACCACAGAAAGGGAGGGTGGGAGGATGAGAGCAGGAGGGATGGGCCTCCCATAGAAAGGACTCCTTTCCACTTTGCTTGAAAGGCAAGGCAGGGCAGTACACGGTTGGGATGTTCCAACAAAAACACAGGGGAACAGACTCCCAGCAAGGCTGGACTATTAAATGAGGGTGCAGGATCTGTGCATACAGTATAAACAACGCTAACCAGGAGAAGGGCCCCAAATGTAGGCTGAAGTAGAAATTAGCATAACTTTGTAAGATCAGCCCAAAGGCTTCACTGAAGACAGCAGCTTCAAGATACCCAGACACTATCCTGATTCCAAGCAGTAACCACAAACCCAGAGATGCAGGCAAAATTAAGCAAGCATCAGTTTCTCTGCTAAAAGCACCAACCCAATGGGCCTTCTTACAGGTGCATCTTATTAGTGGGAAGTAGATGCAGGCAAGGCAACAGCACACTGTGGAAAGCCCTGGGGCCCTGCGCCTGCTTCTCTCCAGGGGCTTTTGTTCTCCTGTACTTCAACTGAGAATGTTAGATTGTAACTCAGAACCTTGTCAGGCCCTGATGTTCTAGAAAGCCATTAAGTATTTAACAAATACCTTCTCAGTCTCACAGTGCACTAGGCCCTAAGAAAGTTACACAAAAATATGTTAAGATAAGGCTCTTTCTTTTCCTGGAATGGGCTATCTACTTGGGTAAATCTGATACAAAACTAATGATGAGGTGACTGAAGTAATAATGTGTCTTTGTGTGTGTGTGTGCGCGTGATGTGAGTGTACCTGCCCAGGAAAGGTACAAAAAGAAACATCCCACAAGATTAACGGTGGTTATCTCTGGGCTACTGTCTGTAGCTAATTTTTGTTACTTATAATTTTCTGTGAATTCTAAATTTTCAACATTGACAATGTATCTTCTTATTTATTTAGGTAAAATGAAGCCCTCAGCTCTCACGGTGGACTAGGGAGGAGGTGCATACACATTAGGCACACATCCAGTGCAACAAGGGGATCTGAGCATGTTTCAGTGACAAGAACAAAGTCCTCACACATGTACAAATCTTAACTTTGACCAAGCCTTGCTCATCAATTCTTTCTTGTGAGCTGCATAAACCACCCTCGAGATAAGTAGAGCAGCGATTAGCCTCATTTAGACAGCAGGATTCTGACAGGCTGAGACAGGATGCCTAGTCCCTTAACAAGGTCTCCAGATTGCTTAGGTGGCCAAACGTGGACTTGGGTCCAGATCTTCCACCTCCCAGTCAGTGGCCTCTTCTTTACCTACTGCCATATAGTAACTTCATTTGCAAAACAAATACCAAATGGCCACTGTATGTCAACCGCTGTGTTGAGTGAGTGTGTGTATTCACAGACACATATGAGAAGATTTTGAGGACTGAAGGAACTCTGATGAAGACATACATGACTACTTAGATTGTGCCCTGGCGCCTGGCGACAGAGCAAGACTCTGTCTCAAAACAAAAAAAAAGGAATGAACTTCTACTGCAATTTAAGCAAGACAGGTATATCCTATTTATTTATTCATTCAACAAATACTGAGTATTTGCAATGGGAAATAAATGCTGAGCAAAATAGGCATGGTCTCTGCCTTTACAGGTCTTTGTGCCAAAAAGGGCCAAGTGAGGTTATGAGGATGCTCTATCACAAAGCTGTGCCTGCATCTAGAGGAAGTCACAATTCCCACTCCACAGATGGTGAATGTGTATTACTTCCTGCAGATAAACAGGATTACTTCAACTGCAAATGTGTTTATTTGCCCCATAAACACGCACCTACCGTGCACAAGGCAAGGTACTTGGTACTATGGGAGATGCAAAGGAGACGGCCAAGCAACTGCCAGGCACTTTCTCTATTCACTGTACTAAACACTGTGAGAGATACACCTAACTACCTAGCGCCAAGCACTGGCTGAGCAGTACTACTCACTGTCAGTGGAACAGAAGCGTCCAGATGAAATCAAATCTCTCCATCACTATGGGTGAATGAGCAAAGCAAGAAAAACTCATTTTTTTAAATCTCACTAACTTTATGGGCCTGCCATAGGACATCACGTATTCCTCCACAACTCCCTCAAAAGAAAGCACCCTCATTTTCTAAGCATGGCACATCTGAATGGTATCAAGTTACCCCTTCCTAAAAAGGATGTAGGAGTGGAGAAGGTCATTTTAGATGGCCAGTTATAGGGCAATGCCATGAGGACAGGAAGGGCTGCAGGGGTCTTTGTATCTGCCTGCAGCCCCTTTTTGATAAAAATGTGAAAAGCAGTACCAATGGGTCCATGTGACTGGAATGAAGCCTTGAGTCTTTTCACATGCCCCGTACCGGCCCCACTGGCCATCAGCGGCTTCCTCAGTTCCAAAACGCCCAGCACAGCATCTGGAGCCTGCACGGCACTGCCTTAACCTTGAGTCTTTGTCCTTTCAGCAAAGGTGCTTTGCCTGTGTCTGTGCCAGAGAGGATACAGCGCACAGTAGGAGGGGATCACACTTGATAGGTCAGAGCCACACACCCTGCCCACTGCACCACTCAAAGCCCTGCTTGCTAAGATGTAACTGGTCTGCAGCTGGTTGAGACCCTCAGTTGAGTTCAGGGCAACCTTGACCTACTGGAAGCATGTTTTTGAACATCACTAAGTAAAAACAGTTTTGTTCATTTCTATGTGAACAAGAAGAAATAAATTCCCTACAAATCATTGTAAGAGGCAAAACAGCCACTTCTCAAACCTCAGAAAGGGTATCATTTCCTAAACGATAAGGTTTTTTGGTTCAGATGTCACATATGAAGCATCTTTAACTGGGGTGCCCTATAATAACAAGGTCTCTTAAGTAAAAGAAACCAAAATAGAAAACTTCTTAGGAAGATGCTTCAATATTAAATAAGGAAAGAGAAATGTGATTATGATTAACTGAAGTTCAAGTTGTGATTTACTGTTTTTAACATGTTTGCTCCGTCCATCTGTTTGATTCCAGAATGCCTTGGAATGTCTTTTCTGGTTATTTCGCATTCGTTGAATGAGCCTGCCAGTGTCAGTTTTAGCTTGCTGTTGAGAGTAAAAATATTAAGTCAGTCTTCTCAATGCCATTTAGAACACCAACATTATCCCTGGAATTCACCTGCAGACCTGACTTAGAGGGCAGCTCCAAGCATGTCCCCCAATCAAGAGCTGACGGCTAACTCCAGCTCCTCCTCCGCCTGCTGCTCAGGCACAGGCTGTCAGAGGAATCCCCTTATCCTCAGCATGCCCATCCTCATCTAGGCCCTTATTCTCCCTTCCTCAAAAGGATGCAAACAGCTTCCCAACTATGACCCGACCTCTGCTCTAAAGCACAGCTCTGTTCTAAGTACATCATTCCCCAGGCATGCTTTGAAATTTGCAGGGCCAGTGCAAAATGAAAATGCAGGATCCCTTGTTTTATAAGTACTAAGAATTTAAAGATGACAATAGCATTAAGCTGAGCATGGGGCCCTGGGGAGGTGCACAGGACACAGCCACCAAGCCTTCCCTGAAGAACTAGTGCCTCAACAATCTCCACCAAACTCTTTACTCTGGCATTCAAGGTCTTCTACCGCCTGGCTCCACTGCACCACCTTCTATATAGACCTCAGCCTCCAGAAACCCAGGAATCATTTCACAGATTCATCCTCACCATCCCATCTCTATGCCTTGCAGGAGAGTTGAAGGCTGTCTCCTCCACACCCTCACTCGACCCCTTAAAGATTTCTGGCTGGGCACCCATGCCTTGATGGGGTTCTTCCTTGGACAGAGCAATGAACTATTACTTGTTTAAATGCCCAGAGCCTGACATAAAGTGAGCATCGAGAATGAACCAATCAGCTCCCTCTCCCTCACCTCTGCTGGGCCACTCCTCCTTCCACCCCTCCCTGCCCCCAACAGCTATGCCCATAAAACCACATCTCTCCTTCAGGCCTGGCTCAGATACCACCTCCTCCACCCAGCCCTCCTGTATTGTCCCAGCTGGATGGGGCCCTGCTCCCCTCTGGGACCTCTCCAGCTTCCCACCTCCCCAACAGCACCTGCCCATATTCCACCTTGTATCACAGAATCTACCCATTTGACCCATCACACATTCCAACTGGGCTGCAAACACCCCAGGAAAGGGGCTTCTCATGGTTCCTTTCCACTCTCTCACCACAGACTTTGGGGTGTTCTGTATACAGCAGAGGTTCCATACATAATTTTTGACTGAATGACAAAAAGCAGATCAAGTAAAATTTCTCCCTGCCATGTCACCCCCCCCCTTAAAATAAATATTTCCAAAACACATCAAGATTGAGAGTACATAGAATTAAAAATTTATAAAACTATTAAAGGTAGAATCAACTTCAGGTTTGAAAGAAGTGCCTTTGGAACCAATCTAAAGAAGCTGCATGCCTTAAGTACTAAAGGGAAGGAAAAAAGAGGTTAGATTCCATCTACTGGGAATTCTGCATGACAGAATTCTGCCCGAGGGGCTCTGCCTGTATGCCTCACCCCTCACATCTCCAGGGCGGCCACTGTTGTAATCTCACACTATTGTAAATGGCCCCCTCCACTTCTGCTGGCGAGAACTCTGTGGGGAATCCTTTCCCCATGTGGTTTGGGTAAAAGTGACTCCATCTTCTGGCCACTGCAGGGCCAGAAAACTCTACCTCCTTGGCCACAAGAGAAAAGAACAGACTGTGCCCCATGCCAAGCACTCAGATATCTCCATGGGATTTCTATGGCATTTCTATTAGAAAAATGCTGTCTCTTTTGGCTGGGTTGTCACACTGGTAAGACATAAATCCAGGGCTGTCAGTGGCCATTTCTCCATCACATCCTGGGAGAAAGACAAACAGAGATAACCCCTGCTAAAAGATGAAGAAAGAGACAGCCCCTCACCCGCATCCCTGGAATCAAGCACCACCTGAGGTCAGCTGCACCTTTCATGGAAGTCTCTTGAAATTGGGCTGTCACTGGCAACTGAGAGAGTCTGAGTGAGTCCAATTCTATGAGAAGGCACCTATTACCCCCACTTTGCAGATGAGGAAGCCCAGCCCAGGGAGATGCAGGAAAGCACTCAAGACCACGTGGCCTGTAAACAACGGGACCAGGGATAAGTTCAGCCTCTCAGTGGCTCACACCTCACTATTCTATGATGGGTGTTACCAACCAGAGGCTCTACAGCTCCAACTTCCCCTACAGAAAATGAAAAACATGGTGAATTGTGCCTTTGGAACCAATATGAAGAAGGTACACTTCTTACATACTAAGAGGAAGAATAAGAACTGACTGGTGACATGATTTAAAGCAATGCCCTTACAAATAGCCAAAAATTAACACATAGGTGAACAATGTCGGCATTTATCAAGTCTACTTAGTGAATCAAATGAATCAGCATGGAAACTGAATGGAAAAAGGACTGAGATCCTTTGCTGGTGACATGGGGTAAATCCTGACTGGCTGCTGTTCAGACTGGCCGTCACATTCCACCAGATGGTAACAGCCCAAAATAAAAACTGCTGCAAATGCAATTTAGACAAATTCAAGAATCGTACGAATAATGGCTCCACAACAGCTTATTAAGAGGAGCTACACATATTTAAAGCACACTCCTATGTTTTCGAGGTGATGGCTGGAAGGGTCATGGGGTCCACCCACAGCGACTCCCTTAATTCCACTCTCAGTGGCTGAACTGGAAAAACATTAGTCTGATAGAGGATGGAGATTCTCGTGATCTTACAGGAAAACATTATAGAAAGCAGTGACTCTGAGCTCAGTAGCATTTAGTGCCTCTCATCCATGGACTGAACTTTACTTAAATCTGCTTAAAATTTCAGAGGATAACGCTCACCAGAAAACTTTCATTGGTTGCCACTTTAAGAAAGCAAACTGACCTACGAGTGAAACTTTAGGAGCTTCTTGACATTTCTGTAAAATAACAAATGTCAGAGGCATCTTTCGACTTCTTCACGGGCCACTGTGATGGAAACAGACGGAACGTTTCCCAGTTGAAAACAGCAGCGTGGTCCCACTGTGGGTCAAGCGTCTTATCTGAGGCCAAGACATCCAGGAGAGCCGATAAGGTAAAGCTGCCACCAACACCATCAGCGTCATGTGCTTCCTCAAGCTTCAACGGAGAGAGGGAACGTTCCCACCGGACACAAAAATCTCCTTCCAACTAAAGCCTGACAACTTTGGAAAAAATAACTCTAATTTTCCCCTCATATTTAGCCATTTATAAGCTTAATTTTAAGAACAGAAAAAAAACTTTGCCAGTTAAGGAATATACTTCCCATTTCTAACAAGATGTTTTGAGGAGTCTCTTAGTGACTTTTGCCATGGGTATACAAGTATCATCAAATACTGCAATTAACAAAACACCAGGTCTCATCACTTGCTCGACTACAGGTATCTAGCACCTTTTCCGATAAAGAGAACTGACTGATGATTTTTTAAATGGACATGACTAGTAGAAAATCTACCCAAATACATTAAACCAATTGGTGTGTGTCTTTACTTTAACAAAGGTGGCATGAAGGGACACTGCTATTTGTCTACCGAACTGTTAGTTTACACCTTCCTTACCAGCAAAATGATGACTGACCCTGGACCTTGCTATGCTGTGTACCCCGGCCACACCTGTGGGAATTCAGAAATTTCCTGCCACATACTCATATCTGTAGTGGGAATGCAAGAAGTCAAACAACAAATGATCAGCGCTAACATCACAAGTGACCATAATCCCAGTGACATCCAGTTCCTAATCTGTTGCTGACAAGACAAACAGGAAGCTGCCCTGAGCCACGTCCCCACCCCATACCCCAACTTCTCTGCCCCACCACTCCCCTTCCTGCCCATGCATGCAGCACCTCCACACCTTCAGGTTGGCAAGTGCCTCTGTGAACTCTCCCCTGGCGTTGACCTGCATTCCCACCCACAGAGCAAGGTTCTCTTTCCTCGGAGCTCCCACAGCTTCCTGTGCACAGATCAAGTATCACGCATGTGACGTCATTCAGAAACCAGGGGTGGGCACCTTTGCCACCGGCACTGTCCTATGAGCTCCTCTAGGGCCTGGCCTATACCCAATCCTCTCTGAATACCCCAGGCCAACCATGTTCCACGCACATTCAGCAAAGGAGACCCTGAACACTTAGATGAGCCTGACCTATGCTCTTGTCTCAAGATGTCAATGGAGTTCTGTTGAGAAGACACCACCTCAACGTCATCAAGGAATCCAGGGCAGCTCATGTGATGCAGGACAGCAGGAGCCTGTCGTGTGGGTCTGGGCAGGGGACTCACCCTGTAGGCCTCATAGGACTTAAAGTCATCTCAAGGCTTGCTTTGGGCTCTCTGGCTGCTCCTTTGTAATTCCTGGAGTGTCAAAAGAAAACCTGCGAGTTGGGTGTGTGTGTGTAATTACTGCATATGAGTGAGAACATGTGTGGGGCAGCACATGTGAGTGACAGTGAACATAAGAATGTTCCCATCTGCTGGGGGGTATGAATGTGGTAGTGGTGGGGGAGATGCCACAGCTCCCCATGGGAAGGGCCTGAGATGGTGAAGTGCTCACAAGGATGGACTTCCCGTAGAATTCAGCTTGCACAAAGCAGCGGTTAAGAGCTGGAAACAAGTCCCCACCTTTCATTCATCTGGAAGGATTTCATCGTCAATGGTTTTGAACCACACTGAACATTTTATGTTCTATGTAATCTGATTTACTTTAGAATTAAAAATGAACGCTTCCCTGCCATCAGTGAAATACTCACCTGACAAGGTGCTGACGAGAACCTCAAAGGAGACAGAGTCCCCTTGTGATGGGGATCTGGTAAAAAGGTTCAAAGGAGAATGAGCACATCCCTTTCACCCCATCCAGTGAGCTGAAAATACTGCAAAGGCACTTCCTCAGGGGCAGAGGAAGGGATGTGTGCACATGGTGCCTGTGTGAGTGTGGGTAGGCATGGCAGAGGGAAGGGGAGACAGGGCAGGACCCTCATCATTTAGAACAGAGGCCACCTGAAACGTGTGGAAACACTGAGCATCCTTGCTGTATGCACTGAGTACCCTGAGATGAGGCTCAGACCCACCTCACCCTCCCTCCTCCAGAGCACAATGCAGTGGAAAGGATCCCCTGGGCCTCCGACTCCAGAGACCTATATGGTACACCTGCTTTGCCAAGAGTCCCTCACTCAATTACTTCCTTATTCCTCGACTCATTTCAGAAAAGTGTAGGGAGCAGATGGTAGCAATGGTTACACAACAATACAAATGTAATGTCACTGAACTGTGCTCTTAAAAATCATTAAAATGAAACATTTTATGATATCTCACCACAATAAAAAGGATAAGGAGAGCCCACTATGTGCTAGTCACTGGACACACTTTGTTCATGCAATCATTCATTCATGCAAACATTTATATAGTGCCTATGTGCCCAGAGCTATTCAAGATTAGACATACAAAAGCGGAAGAGCAGAAGAAACTCCTTGCCCTCCGGAGATGTCATTCTAGTTGGAGAGACAGACAATAAAAGGCATAAGTAAAACGTGCCGTAAGGTGGGCAGGGAGAAGCGCAAAGGAGAAAAATAAAGCCAAGAAGGTCAGTATGGAGTGTCAAGGGCAGTGCAGTTTTAGACACAGGGGCCAGAGATGGCTTCACTGAAAAGGTGACTCTGAGTAAAGATCTAAAGAAAATGAGAGTCAG